ATTCTATTTATAAAATTACTTGCGGGCCAATTAAAAATGGATCGCGGGCCGCAGTTGGCCCGCGGGCCGGAGTTTGGACACCCCTGCTCTACTGCAAAGAAATGCATCGCCAACAAGTTGCACTCATCAGGGCAGACTGATTCAGTTTGAACATTCAGACTGAAAATAAAAGGCAATTATTTAACAACTTTTGCCCATCTGAGAGCAACCGAAGTCAATTTGAATTGGGCTAAAATTGTTTGGAGACTGGCCACCTTCTACCAGGCAGCCAGTGCAATTTCCTTGCAGTCAAAAGGGGCCACCACAATTACTTGTAATCGGTTGTCAAATGTAAAAAAAAACAAAAAACAAAAAAACCAAGACCTAGTCATAATGAGGTTGCCATCCTATTTTAACCCTAATATGACTGGTCTATTATCAAGGCTTCTGACGCTGACCTAATTCTTCATGCAAAAAATATATATTTTTTAAAAAAGCACATTAATGCATATCAAACCTTTGTATAAAGTCTTATGGGAAAACATGCATGTTTAGAAATCCTGTGAGGAAACAGATTCTCACATGCCAAGACTGACTTACAAAAAGACACTTTGCTGAACTTGTGATGTAAACTGCACAGAGGAGGGGAGAAACTCTAATTATGCTGGAGACAAAGGAAAAACAGACTGAAGACTCTAGAGATACATCTGATATATTAGAATACATAAATAGAGTTGAGCTTCTATTGGTTATCTCTCTGTGCTGAACCCTGACTGAGCCCTGTGGTGTTATATCATAAACAAACTAAAGGTATGACTACAACAAGTATTGTTTATCAAATGCAACCACCTTATCAAAAACTACCCTGAGGTCTGACAAACATGGAATGATCGCCGTTTTTCATCAAGCATGTGCAAAGTATATTCTTTTGAAGTTTACACTCGCTTTGTTATCCATTGTTTACTTGGAACAAGTCGTCCCCTTGCTATTGCCGTTTCTGCTCTTCTGGCACATTACACAGTGTGCATTTACCAGTTACTTTTAATTTGTGTTTTGCTGCCTGATTGGCATTATCAGTCAGGTGGATAAATTCACCAGTGCCGGTCATATTCAATTAGGCCTGCAATGCTGCTTTAATTATCTGAGACATCTCACCACTACTGTGCTGATACATTTATCACATTTTACTAATGTGCTAAAATTTGATGGTGTTAATTGAACTAAAATTGTGTCTGTGTCAGTGTCTCAAAACACCTTTTGAGGCAAATTTCCTATATGCTTTTGAAGGGCAAAGCTTCTGGAGAAAAAGTCTTCATATTACAGATTCAGGTAAAACTAGAAAACAGGTAAAGCAGGGAGAGAAGAGACACAGACTGTAGACTACAGAAGAGAAGACAGTAGAAAGCTGAGAGATAAAACTACACAGAGGCAGCAAGCAGACTGGGACACAGGCAGACGGAGAAAAAAAAAGAGCTCTGTGATAACATCGCACCCATGGACATGAACATGATGATGAACTGTGTAGTGAGATTTGAATCAAACCTCGGGTTTTGTCTTTGATGTTCGCCATTCAAAATCAGCGGGGACTGGAAACAACATTAGCACTTTCTTCTCACTCACACACATTCACCATCAGTGGAAACCCGAAGCTGTAATCTCTATTAAAATGCACTAAAACAAAGCAGAGAAAGATTATGCTCTGGTTAAGTTTCATTACAGCTGCATTATGCTTCAGTCAAGAAGCGCATTTGTCTCTGTCAGTCCTCTGTGGTGGCTGCATTAAACGACATTACACTTAATAAAAGGCATCTATTTTTACCCAGTTTAATTCAACCAGGTAGGTCATTTAAGAATAAAGTCTCCCACAAACTGAAAACCTGCCCTGTGCAGAAAAGCACATCAGCCCAGGAAAGATATTGAAGTTTGGATTTCTTTTTCTTTTTTCTATTAAGCAATCAATTTCTTCCGCACAGCTCAAGGTCACTGGGAGAAATGTGATAGATTCTGCGGGGATTACAACTCAAGTAGTGTCAGACGTTCTGGGTATTACATCTCAGGTGTACACGACACACACAAAGAGCAACCTCTGTGTCCATATATGCTAAAAACTTAGCGTGCATCTGCACACTTAAACTTAGGTCTGTAATGTGTCAGAAAAAAGAAGCAGTTTTTGTTTGGTTGCTTCAGTACAAAACTATAGTGGATTTCAATATGTGATTTAGCTTTAATTCAAAAATGTAGCATTTACTGTTTAGGACTTTAGACATTATTTAACACAGTCCCCCATTTTCAGATGCTTAAAGTTATTTTAACTTTATTTAACGTTATTTTTCACAGCCAGGTGAGCCTGGTTAACTTGTGATTTCATGACAAATGAAGCAGATAGAATATTTGAAATTGATTCAACTGTGGAATTTGTATTTCAAAGACATACTAGTGAGAGATGCCATTGTTAGGCTGAAAAACCAAAATAAACCTATCAGAGAGAGCAAAATCTTTAGTCGTGGCTAAATCACCAGTCTGGTACAAAAGGAGTGCACCTAGCAGCTCAGCAACATTAAAAGACCCAAAATACCACACAAATAAAGTGTATGAAGACAGAGTTATTTCCGGGGTTAAGAAAAACAACCTTACAACACCCGGAACAAGTCAAGAACACTCTTAAGGAGGTAAGAGTATCATTGTCAAAGTCTACAATCAAGAGATGCCTTCATGAATTCATAAAATGTATAATGTGTATAAAATGTCTGTAATGTAACTTTGTTAAACCCTTGAACGTCAGTCATATAATTGTTTGATTGTAAATCCACTGTGGGGGTATACAGAGGCAAAACTATACAAACTGCATCAAATTGTGGACATAAATGTACTTTAGTTCAGTCAAGCGCACTGGGAGTATGGTACAAAGTGAGGATGTTTTACAAGGCTGACATTAATAGATCTTTTTGTACTGTTACCCAATAAGTGTCAGGTCCTGGGCTGATGTTCTTGGGAACTTTGAATCGATCTTCTTTGGAGGACATCAGTGCCAACTTTGGAGCAGATTTTACACTTGGGTTGTACTGGCCGGGGCCTGATGAACAGAAACACACTTAAAAGCCAGTAAAAATACAAAGAACACTCTTTTTACCTTACCGGACTTAATATAGTTTTGTATTTCCTGATTAGTTTTTATTTTTATTTATTTTTTACGTTTTGGTTTTAATTTGATTGTACTTATAGTTAGTTTGCTTTTCATTTTTTGAAAATGTTTATTTTTAGTCTAGTTTCTATTAGTTTTCGTCTTAGTTCTAATCTTTATTAATTATTATTGTATGGCAGGCATGTGTCAGAGGCAACATTTAGCAAAATCACTACAAGTATTACAATAAAAACACAGAACTTTTTCAAAACAGCTCACTCACAGTCTTGTGGAAATCCAAAGTCTCAATAAATATTTCTATGAAAGCCTCATAAGGCAAATTGGGATAACATTTTTACCAAACTAACAAATACAATATGTTTATTTTATTTTCATTAGTGTTCCAAGTTCAAAAACTCATTTCAGTTAGTTTCAATTCTTTCTAAAAGTCTAGATTTAAATTTAATTTTAGTTAACTAAAATCTTTTTTCACCTTTAGTTTTTCATTTAGTTTTAGTTAACTATAATAACCTGGCCACATACTATCACCTTCAGGCTAAGCAATCATAAGATCTGAGCCAAAAAAAAATCCCATCATAATCTTAAATTGTTAGTACAAATCTATATTTCTATAGATATTATATTCACTACATTTAGAATTGTGATAAGGGGACATAAAATATATAAAGAATTCATCATTGGTCTAACAGCTTTAAAGTAAGACAACAGTAGGTGCTATTCAGCCCCCGTGGCTAAATGCAATCAACTTATGACTACACACATGGTTAAAAACACCTTAAGCAACAGCTAATGTCACAGATCATTATGAGCACCACAGTCATTAATTTTTGCTCAGAAATAATGAATAGCTAAACGCTCGGTCCTACCATTATCAGAAATATGATCACGTTAGACCCAGCATGATAAGTAATATAATGTTCCATATATTATAGACCTATTCATAAATGCAAATTCAACTATGGGGGAAAAAAAGCATGCGCATATCAGTGTGCTTATTGTGCGTCTCTAAGTTCACGTTAAGTGTCCATATACGCGTGTCCACATAAGTGCTTCAGGGTGGAGATGTATAAGTGTGTGCGTGTTTGCGTTCTAAGCAGAAACAATTCTGCAAACAGTTCAAATCTATTTATATGCAAATTGGATTTTGGTTAAACGGTTTGAGGTTTCTCCTGGGTTGAGTCCCTTGGTGAAAGGGGGCTAGTCATAAATTATCCAAGTCAGTCATGAATCTATCAATTTTCTAACAACATTTTTCAATGGGGGTGTAACTCAGGTAAATATTAGGTTTGAGGCCCATAGAGATGAAACTAATTGGACTGTATGATAGCAAAGGGAGGCACAGTACAGTTTGTGAATATTTAGCACTGAAAAGAAAGGAAGGACCGACCCACACATAGACCGAGCCGTTTCTCTTTACATAATGTCCTTGTGGGTCTTTATAATAATTTATTTTGAGGGGGCCCACTGAACCTGTGGAGCCCAACAACATAGAAGACCAAAATGCTGGACGCAACAAAGCTAACACTTGAAATTGGGTTTAACGCTTTGTTTAGTGTTTAGGTATTCAGTTAGGCATTCAGCTGTGGAAGTAAGGGTTATGGTATAGGGCAGGGAAATGCATTATTTTGATTGACAGACCAAACAAAAAATCGAGTGCTACACCTGGCACACTGGAGTTACTGTCTAGGAAGAAATCATTTCTCGGTGCAGCAGACAGGAAGCAGCTTTGCCGTTTCTTAGCGTCTTCACTTCGGGGTTCTAAGTAAGAGTGGCCATTAACCTTCTCAAATGTCTGATTCACATTGTATCTGCTGGGTGCAGGGGAATCCTACGAGAAGAGAAAAGCAGAGCATAGGAGAGTAATGACATATTAGAAAAAACTGACACTAACATTTATACAACAAAATGAAATGCACAAATGTGCAGTTTCCACGTTTAACATTTCACAGCTGCAGCCATCTGTTATTAGAACACACTCACATGGTTCCATTTATTATAGTGTCACTCATGTATGCATGAATATTGGCGTGCAAATGCAAGGTAATCCAAACAGTGTCAAATCATCTTCATCAGGGCTATTGTTTTTATCTAGAAATAAAACAAGCAGTGAAAAACTACTTTAGTTAATTGATGTCAAAATGCAAACTAGAATTTAAAAAACTGAACAATTTAACAAACTCAAACAATATTGTGAACTAAAAGAAAAATGCACCAATAATGATAAACGCATACACAGTGTCTTCAGTTGTAGTGTTCGTCATTTTGGTCAAATTTGTCAACACATGTTTGTGAAGAATGAAATATCTGCTTAAGATTTACAGTTATGTTTAATATGGCTACTGGTTTTTAGGCGGATAATGTGCAGTTTGAACTGCGATACCTGTGTGACCGCACATATTCCCCCCCAGGGAGGCGTCTGAGGACATCACCTTGGGAAAAGGCACCCACCCTGTTGAGGGGTCCTAGTGTAGCACGCAACTCAGTCTCTCTTCAAGTACCTAACGGTTATCGCAAGTTTACTTCGGAAGTGACGTGATGCACACAGACAACATCTTTAAAAGCCTGAATGGTACAATGGCAATCATAAATGCCATCATGTCCCGTAATTGTAAAACGGTGTGAAAATGGAGTTGGCGTACAAAGTGAAATTCAGCAAAGCCACCCTGTGCTCTGACAGACATGCACAGCTGGAAACTGAGAATATTTCGAGCCTGAAAAATGAGATCTGCTGATTCAGAGTTCGCACGCTTTTTTGTGGAAAAAAAAAAGTTTAGAGAGAAACTCAGAGTTTGAATGTGTGACAGAATGACCAGCAGCTAAATTGCCAACTGCTTTCTGCAGCCCAATCAACCAGGCAGGCTAAGATGCCCCGATATGTTTGGAGTTCATGGTGACAGAGTTCGCGGCAGGGGCAGTACCTGCCTGAGCCAGTAAATTTGGTCCAGCTGAGAAGGAGAAAATTAGAAAATTTGTAGAAAATTTGCAGAGGTTAGACAGAAGAGCTGCGAGGGCAACCCACACCATGGTTGCCGGACAAGACTAGATAAGACGCTGACATTGACGGCTCCACAGGTGGTGGATTAAGCAAGCCGGTATTTTCCGCATTGTTCAGATCCAAATATAATTCATAGCTGTGCACAGTGATGCAAATAGACAGGGGTTGGCTCCATGTCGAGGTGAACTCGGATATCTGAAAACAGGGACAGTTGTGTCTTTTTTTTACCCTTGTCACCTCTGAGTGTATTAGGAATTGCACAGCTTTAAAGAACTTTCTCCTCAAACGTTAGCTCCGGGATACCTTTCAGGAACTTTGTTGTGCAAAACAAGCTGCACCCCTGAGAAATTAAATTAGTTAAATTAGCACACCCCAGGCAATCTGCTCACCAAAAGGAGCACTGCTAGCACCAACAGGAGGAGTTAAACTAATGTTAAACTGGCAGCTGACAACAAAGCCAACTAGTAATAGTTAACTGTGATGACAGAGCATTGTATGTATGTATGTGTGCTCATATGTGGGCCTCATATGTGATCACATCTATCTTCAAAACTGTGACTACAAGTGTCTTTAACCAGGACATGAATCTATCTGTTGTACCAACCAAATCAACTTAAATGTGCACATACACTGAAAGTCTGTAGATACTACACTCCTACAAAAAACAATGTCAGAAACAGATGGCATCTCCAACATGTCACAAGTAATTTCTTGCACATAGACTACATATCAGATTATTATAACCTTAGTCTTTATAATAAATATTAATACAGAGCAATTCACAGAGGTACCCTTGGTGATACCAGTGATAGAATTTTAAATCTGAAATGGAGAATGGGTGAATCGTGGGTGAAACTCGCACTTCGACTGCTGCAGAGGAACCTCAGTTACTGGGGATTTGTCAGTGGGTCTCTGAATAATTGATGCTGAAGGCTGAATATAGCGGCACGATCCACTTATCCTAAACATAGGAAGGCTGTCATTTACCTCACGCTGTCATTTCCCAACTGCTGCATTCTCCCTCTCCTCCTAGGTAGCTGTCCATCTTTAATCACTTTTAACTGCGGCCATTTAGCTTTTCATTATAGACACAGCAGGGGGACAAGGTGGCAAGCACAACATGTGTACGACAATATAACCGTACACAAAACATGGAAACATTCAATTTGAAGATGCACATAGAAAAAAAAAACATTTCTATGTAAATGTAAAATTGAAATTGAAAGAAGGTGAAGAAAACAGTGACACGGTCTCCTGTAGTTTGGCTGGTTTGGTTGGTGTCATGGTTGATTTAATACAACTGACACCTGTAGGCACATCTGCAGAGCCCTATGGTCTATAATTATACCGGAATATGGAACAAACCATGTTCCCAGTAGTAGTCATCAACTATTGACAGCACTCAGGTTGACTTTAATTACACACCCTTGACATTTAGACAGCTCAATACTTGCATTCTACACACACACACACACACACACACACACACACAAACTTTTCTTAATGATTCTGTCACATTGCCCTTGTCTGTCTGAAAGTGACTGAGTGAATATATACAGTAGATGCTAGATACATGTTTGTCAGAGCCAATGGTACAGAACAACATAAATTAGATATTTTTATGTTGGTATTTTTATAATGCAAGTCTATCAGAAATTAACAAAATATAACTATAAGTATTAATAAGATATTAATTAAGTAATGGTGTTTTTCTAATGCATGCTCTCACTGAAGGATTAGAAAATAACTACAAAAACTGAATATGTGTGCTTCTCCACATCAGTTGCTAGACCTCACATTGCTGTGTCAAGAGGCTGGTGCTATTTGAAGAAAAAAAATCTCTTCTCAAGAGGGCTGCTGCACAATTTCACATTATAGTGAGGGTCTCTGTGGAGCATTCGGTTTATTCATGAAAAATGTTTGGAGCACACCTCTCAGAACTGTTACCTTGATCAAGAAAAATTATGATTTTTATTATTATTTATGTTTATTACGGTTATTTCTAACTATTTTATTCAAAATTTTACAATTTCAGCCATCATATACAAGTATATGTATAAATATTGGTTATTTTTTACTTTTTCATGCACATACATAAAGTATCATTTCCACAAGAACAGCCAGAATACTATCCTTTAGTATTCTCACGCATCCTCACTCACAGAAGAGTTTCACCATGGCTAAATCCAAACACAAAGTGAGATATTTCATATTATCTTTTTACAGTATAGCCTTTCTTCCGCACCATCTCCTCTCATACTAATGACTCAAGCATACTTGACAGTGGCTGTATTAATTATCTGGCGGTACCCGTAGTGACAGCTTTGACTAATGGTCAGGCATAACTTATGAGGTGTATGTGTGTCTCTGTCCATGTGCACGTGTGTGTGTGTGTGTGTGTGTGTGTGTGTGTGTGTGTG